TCATCTCTAGTTGAAATAATAATATTGCTCTCTGTCCAGCATCACAGATATCATTCCTGATCTGGGGTGACAGTTTCCATAGGCTGCCAAAGTCAATCACCACCATGGCTCACAGTTTACACTATATCAACATAAGCTGCTCTCCGCTTCTCGCTTCTCACTCCGCCCACAGAACCTGATTGGCAACACTGTATCTGACTGTTCCATGCCTACTGAAATGTTTGGCAGAGAAAACTCCTATTTTTAAATATATTTTAAAATACATTATTAATATATTCTTCCCAAATACTGTATATTGACATATATTTCAAATACTACAATTATGGCCATATTCAATATATTTAAAAAATATATTTCTATATATTTGTGAATATATTATCACAAATATATTCAGAACGTGTGCTGAAATATATTTCAAAGTGTAATTTGGAACACATTTACAAGTATATTTAAAAAATATATGTTTAAATGAAATTTTTTAGATGTACAAAAATATCTGAAAAATATATTTTAAAAATATATTTTTAAATATATGCCTTTGGAAAAATATATTTTAATTTACATTTTTGGAATACATGTTAAAATATATTCGCGTAGGCGCATGTATACCGTATTTTTCGCTCCATAAGACGCACTTTTTTCCCCCCAAAAAAGGGGGGAAAATGTCAGTGCGTCTTATGGAGCGAATATAAAGCGGCCAGTCCGGTATTTTTGCGGCCACCATGTCAGAATACCGGGCCGGCCACTCAGCTGTTGTCTCCTGCAGGGCCTTACCTGTTCCTCGCTCCAGCGCTGCACAGTCTTCCCGCGCTGGCTTCTGTGACAGCCGGGTGCCCACTGTGCATGTGCTGCGCTTTGTGAATGATCTGGTGTCTTCTGGGACACATGAAAGGTCCCAGAAGGCGTCGGGCCATTCACAAAGCGCAGCGCTTCTCGCACATGCGCAGTGGGCACCCGGCTGTCACAGAAGCCGCTGCGGGAAGAAGGAAGGACAACTCCGCGGAAGTGGGAGCGGGTACCCCTTCCCTCCCCAAAGGTCAGCAGTCTCTGGTCATTCCCTGCACTGTGTGCAGTCTCTGGTCATTCCCTGCACTGTGTGCAGTCTCTGGTCATTCCCTGCACTGTCTGCAGTCTCTAGTCATCCCCTGTACTGTGTCCGCAGTCTCTGGTCATCTCCTGTAGTATGTCCGCAGTCTCTGGTCATCTCCTGCACTGTGTCCGCAGTCTCTGGTCATCTCCTGTACTGTGCCTGCAGTCTCTGGTCATCTCCTGTACTGTGTCCGCAGTCTCTGGTCATCTCCTGCACTGTGTCCGCAGTCTCTGGTCATCTCCTGTACTGTGTCCGCAGTCTTTGGTCATCCCCTGCACTGTGTCCGCAGTCTCTGGTCATCTCCTGCACTGTGTCCGCAGTCCCTGGTCATCTCCTGCACTGTGTCCGCAGTCTCTGGTCATCTCCTGCACTGTGTCCGCAGTCTCTGGTCATCTCCTGCACTGTGTCCGCAGTCTCTGGTCATCCCCTGCACTGTGTCCGCAGTCTCTGGTCATCTCCTGTACTGTGCCTGCAGTCTCTGGTCATCTCCTGTACTGTGTCCGCAGTCTCTGGTCATCTCCTGCACTGTGTCCGCAGTCTCTGGTCATCCCCTGCACTGTGTCCGCAGTCTCTGGTCATCTCCTGTACTGTGCCTGCAGTCTCTGGTCATCTCCTGTACTGTGTCCGCAGTCTCTGGTCATCTCCTGCACTGTGTCCGCAGTCTCTGGTCATCTCCTGTACTGTGTCCGCAGTCTCTGGTCATCTCCTGCACTGTGTCCGCAGTCTCTGGTCATCTCCTGCACTGTGTCCGCAGTCTCTGGTCATCCCCTGCACTGTGTCCGCAGTCTCTGGTCATCTCCTGCACTGTGTCCGCAGTCTCTGGTCATCTCCTGCACTGTGTCCGCAGTCTCTTGGTTCAGAATATTTTTTTTTCTTGTTTTTCACCTCTAAAACCTAGGTGCGTCTTATGGTCAGGTGCGTCTTATGGAGCGAAAAAATACGGTAATTTTTATTCCTAAATATATTGTAAATATATTTCTCTTCCATATGGGTTGCAACTGTTTTTTTGCAGATCAAGCAGAGGAAAAAAATGTGGAATCCCTCAATTCTGAGGAAAATAATATGGAATCATGATAAAAACACCACTAGTACCTTGTTGCACCACCTCTGGCTTTTATTACAGCTTGAATTCTCCGAGGCATGGAATTAACTATTGACAAACGGTATTCTTCTTCAGTCCAGCTCCAAATTTCTCTTATTGCAGTGTCCAGATCAGCTGTGCAGGTTGGAGCCTTGCCATGGACCATTTTCTTTCATTTCCACCATAGATTTTCAATTGGATTAAGGTCCGGACTATTTGCAGGCCAGGCCATTGACATTACATATCTTTCTTGAAGGAAACTTTTCATGGCTTTTGCCCTATGGCAAGATGCATTATCATCCTGAAAAATGATGTCATCACCACCAAACATCCTTTCAGTTATTGGAATAAGAAAAGTGTCCAAATTCTCAATATAAACTTGTGCACTTATTGAAGACTTAATAACTGCCATCTCCCAGTACCTTTACCTGCCATGCAACCCCAGATCATCAACGATTGTGGAAATTTGCATGTCTTCTTCAGGCGGTCATCTTTATGCATTTCATTGGAATGGCATCAAACAAAAGATCCAGCATCATCACCCTGACCAATGCAGTTTCAGGATCCATCACTGAACAGCACTTTCATCCAGTCATCCATAGTCCATGATTGCTTTTCTTCAGCCCACTGGAACCTTGTTTTTTTCTGTTTAGGTGTTAGGCTCCATGTACACGGACACTTCTGAATGATGGAAACTGACTGCTGGAAAATGTAGGTTAAAAAACATCTGTTTAGCCGAGCTTTCATACCACGTTTATGCGCGTTCGTGTTTAGAAGCGTTTTTTAAAGATAAGCACGGGAGAAACCTCCCAAATGCCCAGAATGCACTGAAAAGTGGTAAATTATTAACTATTTCAGACTGTTTCAGAGAAATACAGAGAGCAGAAGCAGAGACAGCAGTATGTGCTAAGATTAGCTTAGGTGTGAGTTGCTCATTAACATTTTCTTTTGTTTCCAAGGGTGGGAAATGTGTCTGGTGGAGGGAGTCATTAAGGCCACCTTGTAGGGGGACTTCATGAGGAATTTGAGGTGTGAATGGTCATTAACATATCTTTTGTTTCCAAGGGTGAGAGAGGTCTGAGGTGTGAATTGGTCATTAACATATCTTTTGTTTCCAAGGGTGAGAGAGGTCTGAGGTGTGAATTGGTCATTAACATATCTTTTGTTTCCAAGGGTGGGAGAGGTCTGAGGTGTGAATGGTCATTAATATATCTTTTGTTTCCAAGGGTGGGAGAGGTCTGAGGTGTGAATTGGTCATTAACATATCTTTTGTTTCCAAGGGTGGGAGAGGTCTGAGGTGTAAATCGTCATTAATATATATTTTGTTTCCAAGGGTGGGAGAGGTCTGAGGTGTGAATTGGTCATTACAATGTGTCAGGGATCCGGGTATGATCAGAGATGTGTGGACCGACACAGGAAACCGCAGACTTCAGGTATAGTATAAAACAATACAATTTATTAACATAAACACAGTGCAAACAAACCAAACCTCCAACAGATAATAATATGTACAACACCAAACGTAGTCAGGCGGGCCGGGTCGGTAGCAAACGGGCAGACAAGGTATAAGGAGCAGGCGGAAGAGTGGTCAGGAATAGCCGAGGTTGGTGCAGGCAGAGTTTGTGCAGAGTCAGGATCAAAGCAAAGTCAGGGTCAAGCAGGAAGCAGACAGGATGCAGGTACAGGGGCTCATGCGAACAATACACCAAGGCACTGACTGCTGGTCTGGCATTCCTTAAATACACCTCCTGCAATCAGCCTCAGGTGATGGCTTGATTGCAGGAGTGAGCTTCTGGCTGCTGAGAGCACCCGCTGGCCAGCCCTGGTACTCCAGCCCACACGGCAGGTGAGTCCCACCACCAGTGGTGAATCCATTCCTGACACAATGTGTGACCAGCTTGGTAGGAACATCCTGTGTTCTGTGTTTTGTCCATCTGAGCACCTTGAAAATGCTTTGCATGCACCAAACAAAAGATCCAGCATCATCATCCTGACCAGTGCAGATTCGGGATCCATCACTGAACATCACTTTCATCCAGTCATCCACAGTTCATGATTGCTTTTCTTCAGCCCACTGGAACCTTTTTTTTTTTTTTCTGTTTAGGTGTTAGGCTCCATGTACACTGGACACTTCTGAACGATGGAAACTGCTGGAAAACGTAGGTTAAAAAACGTCTGTTTAGCTGCGTTTGCATACCGCGTTTTTTTAAAGATAAGCACGGGAGAACCTCCCAAATGCCCAGAATGCACTGAAAAGTGGTAAATTATTAACTATTTCAGACTGTTTCAGAGAAATACAGAGAGTAGAAGCAGAGACAGCAGTATGTGCTAAGATTAGCTTAGGTGTGAGTTGCTCATTAACATTTCTTTTGTTTCCAAGGGTGGGAAAGGTGTCTGGTGGAGGGAGTCATTAAGGCCACCTGGCAGGGGGTCTGCATGAGGAATTTAAGGTGTAAATGTTCATAAACATATCTTTTGTTTCCAGGGGTGGGAGAGGTCTCAGGTGTGAATTTGTCATTACAATGTGTGACAAGCTTGGTAGGAACATCCTGTGTTCAGTGTTTTGTCCATTTAAGTACCTTGAAAGCACTTTCCATGCATTTTGCAGGATGAAAAAAGGCTCTGGACAGCATCGGAACTGGAAGAGTTAAAAAAAATGTTCAAATGCGATTTGCCACATTTAGCCGCATTTACAAGCGTTTTGTGTTTGAAACACTGATAAAATCGACTGCTGCACGCAAGTTTTCTGCGTTCAAAAAAAACGACTGTAAACTCAACTGCCTGTAAATGATGGTAAATGACGATGTGTACATGGACACAGAGGAAAACATTAGGGAGAGTTCAGGGGCTGCTGAAAAAACGCTGAACAGATCCTAAACGTGAATTTATCAGCTGCAGTGTACATGAGCCCTTAAATGATGGTTTTCGTTTGGCTTTTCTGTTTGTAAATCCCATTTCCTTTAGACGATGTCTTACAATTCGGTCACAGACATTGACTCCTTTTTCTGCCCATTTGTTCCTCATTTGTTTGTTGTGCATTTTCTGTTTTCTAGGCATATTGCTTTAAGTTTTCTATCTTGACGCTTTGATGTCTTCCTTGGTCTACCAGTACTCTTCCCTTTTGATTTGTACTTGGTCCATATTTTAGATACAGCTGACTGGGAACAAACAACATCTTTTGCAACATTCCGTGCGGATTTACCTTCTTGAAGAAGTTTGTGTAATCCTCGCCTTTGTTTCAGCTGACATCTCTGGTGTTGGAGCCTTGATTAAAAGTCAATCAGCTTGGTGCAACAGCTCGCCAAGGGTGCAAGCAGACTTTTTTAACTGCAGATTAACTAACAGATGTAATCTATTGATGTTTGTTTTAGAACTGCAAAAGTACACAGTGATTTCACGATATGTTCCTAGAATTGAGTGATTCCATATTTTTTTTCCTCTGCTTGATCTGTAAAAAAAGTTGCACCCGACTACAGTTTTCTTTTCTTTTTTTATTTTTTAAAGTGTTTCTTTAAGGTTGGAATGTTAACCACTTCAAGTCCAGACACTTTTACCCCCTTCCTGTCCAGGCAAATTTTCAGCTTTCAACGCTATCACACTTTGAATGACAATTGCGCGGTCATGCAACACTGTACCCATATTCATTTTTTTATTTTTTTTTTTGAGACAGATAAAACTTTATTTTGGTGGTATTTATTCACCGCTGGGATTTTTTTTATTTTTTTTGCAACATAAATGAAAAAGTCCAAAAATTTTGAAAAAAAGTGTTTTTTCTTATAAAATCTTGCAAATAATCGTTCTTCATAAATTTTAGCCAAAATGTATTAAATTTATCATTTTAGTAAAAAAATAACCCAAATTAGTTTATAACCAAAAATTATTTTTTTTCTAAATTTTTTGTTACATTTTTATTTTATTTTTTTATATTATTATTTATGTTTTTTTTAGTTTTTTTTTTACATACTGCCACCCTAGCAGTACAGTGTCAGCATAGTGACACTGTACTACTTGTGGGGGGTGATGAAGATTTTTTTTTTTTTAAACTGATTGCTTTTACACTCGTAAAGGCTGTAAAACAATCATTTTTCCTCCTCTGGCTGCATTCTTGCACTCATTGAGAAGTACTGAGTGAGCTGTGATTGGTCACAGCTTGTCACATGGTACAAGGCTGTTGTGAATAGTCTTGTACCATGTGACCTCTGTGATCATTCACAGATTTCACATGTAGTAAGCAATGATGTCAGAAGTGACATCTTGCTTACTACTCTGCATGAGATCACTGCAGGGGCGGACTGACCATTTGGAAACTCGGGCACTGCCCGAGGGCCCAGGGTCAGTAGACGGCCCCATGTGATGCCCCTGGTACCTTTTTCATAGGCTTTTTTTGAGTTTGGGTAAGGACACAGGGGCCCCATGATTCCCTATTGCCCTGGGGGCCCCATGAGTTGTCAGTCCGCCCCTGGATCACTGATTGGCCAATCAGTGATCACATGATCGGGACCTCACACAGAGGTTGCGTACAACAACTGGTGTTTCTGAAGGACACAGTGAGCACCGGATCGCAGTGCTGTGCTCTCCCAGGGAGCGTGCACAAGCATGGGGCGGGGAGACCATTTATAAATGGCCATCCACCTCTGCACTGCTCCCGTCCAGCTGTTTATATACATGGGCCGGATGGGAAGTAGTTAAATGAAAATAGTTTTGAGGCCTGTCTGTGACTGCTTTTTTTTTTTTTCCACACAATTAAACAAATAAATGAACATTTTCCACGAGTGGTGATTCCATACTTTTTGCCAGGGGTTGTAAAATTAATGCTACTGTAAGTATTAACTTCTACAAATATTATAACATTTCATAATAATATAGTGTATAATGTAATATAACATCTGCATAAGATAAAATATATAATAAATAATATAAAATATATATAATATAATGTAATTACATGCAGCAAATTGTAATATAACTTATGAAAAAAGAATTTAATAGGATGAAAATAACCATCAATATCCTATATTCTCTGGAGTTTTAATTAATTTGTTTTGCTCATTTACATAGTGGAAACATATTCCGCAGTGCTTAAAAAATTCATCCATCAGTCCAATGTGCCCCCCACAGTCATACATAGAGCCCTGTCATACCTGCAACTTTGTAGCAGAGATCAGAAGCACCTACATACTTTTCTACTTACTGCCTCTGGTTATTTGAAGCTGCTAGAGTTGTTGCAGATAATGACAACTGGGGATGACGGGAGTAGTTTTGGAAAGATACGATTTTTCAGAAAAAATCTCAATTTTACTCATTTGGCTGCAAATAAAAAAAAAAGAAATCTACTCTTTCTTTATTATTTAGGTGGTTTGTTGTTGGAGTATTTGGGGTCATTTAGTCTATTTTACTCTGTTCTTTGTTCTTCAGTTTTTTCCTTTTTCGTTCGTTTTGACTGTTATTTAAATGTTTTATTTAACTATTGAAACATAAAAATGGGTAAAATAATAGAGATAATGAGTGGCTGTAAAGAACAGTTCCAAATTGGATTAAAGAAGCTTTGGTGACCATCAGAAACCATTTTTTGGCAACTGTACCCTTCAAAGCTACAACAAACATCCTCATTTTGGTTTCCCTGTGTATTTTGCCAAGATTTTCACTGGCATTTTGGGGGAATTGAAAACTCTTAAATTCAATCATTCATAATTACTGCTAATCTTTGTTGTGCCACAATCATTAGCAGCTAAGCTGGAAAACACAATCAGCATTAATCAATGGCACAAATAATATTAATGGCAATGGTAAGTGGCACTGTAATAACTTTCCTGCATCCAGTCTACTATACTGCTAGAGTGCACTCTAGGGATGCCTGTGATAAGATCCTGGTTTCCTGCAATGGTATCCTTTACTTTAGGCAGTGAGTGAAGTCCTTGCAGAGTAGCTTGTCTAAAGAAACAGTCCTTTGCCCTAGTTCTTCAGCTGGCTAACGTTGGGGCCTAGTCTTTACAGTGGCGCACATATATACAGTCCCAGTAAAGTCTGCATGCAGTGGTAAGGGATGTTAGTTAAATGTCAAGTTTCTAAGTGCTTGGTCTCTGTCAATGGCAGCCCTGCCCTCCCACCAACCCCTGCAATAGGGCAGTAGTGGTACTGTTGTTCAGGTGTTCTCTGGATCTGTCTGCAATGGCTCTGATGACTGTAGCACAACTAGTGCTGTAATGAAGTCCAAGGCTGATGGTTGTCAGGGCAGATGAAAGATAAGTGCAATTCAGAGACAGGCCGAGGGTTAGGGCAGGCAGCAGATAAAGCATATTCTAGAGACAATCTGAGGTCAGGACAGGTAGCAGATGAAAGCATAATCCAAAATCAGTCCATGCCAGGGCTGGCAGGAGATGAAAAATAATCAAAAGACGTTCCGAGGTCAGGGCAGGCAGCAGACACATGGTCCAACGGCAGTCCAAGGTCAGGGCAGGCAGAAGATGAATCATAATGCAGAGACAATCCAAGGTCGGGCAGGCGACAGACAAAGCATAATCCAGAGACAATCTGAGGTCAGGACAGGCAGCAAACAGAAGAATAGTCTGTTATGCAGCAAGGATGCCTCCTAAGAGCAGTGCCACCACCAGGCAATGAAGGTGTGGAGGCATCACTGCCAGAGGTGGGCCTGTTGCCCAGAAATCGCCAACACTCTGGTTGGACAGGAGAGCAGCTAAGCAACATGAGCATATCTCAAATTCTGAACACCCTTTATAAAGGACCTAATTTATCAAATTATAAAGAAAGTTTGAGAATATGTATGATTTGTAAGCTTTAATCATTAGCACAGGTGTAAAAATTCCTAAGGGTTTTTGGGTTTTTTTTACATATATGAAAGGAAGAGAAGTCTCCATGATTACAATCATAAGGGAAAAAAACAGTTTCCAATCTCATAACCACATAGCGAACATTATGGGTTTATGACAATCCCAGAGCGATATAGCAAGTATCAAAGGTTATCCTACACATGGTGCTTTTTAACCAACACTTTTCTGAGAAGAAAGTCTACTTTTTCAAGAATGCATATGCAGTTCCACTACATGGAAATATTTGTTATCTGAACTGCAGATACAGCCTTGAAAAAGTAGACTTTGTTCCAAGAAACATGTTGGATGAATATTGTATGCCAGAAAATCTAGGATACTTGTGTTTGACACACACTAAAGGTCTTTCCTTTATGATTTTAACCCAGAGTGATGTCTTCTTATGTAAGAAATAAAAATTAAGATATTTTTATACATATGTCTATGAATAATATATTATATACTGTACATCCACTAACATGCTCATGCTCCTCAGCTCACGTGCTCAACTCCGACAGCAACATCTGCCACTTCCATTTGCTGGTGGCGCCACTGCTCTCAGGAGCTAGGCACTGGGTTGGCTCTGTCTGCCCAGCATACTCTGCACTGATTAGTCTGGCCACACTACCAATGAACTTGTGGTGTTTTATTTGAGTATTACAAGCCTAGAGCTAGAGCTTTGCATTTGTAATGTCATTGTGCTA